CTTCTGATGGGATTTCTGATTGTCAGGCAAGTGTATATTTAACTTAAAAGAAACTTCTAAATGGTTATCCACAGTGGTTATACCATTTTGAGTTACCATCACTATTGTATGATAGTTTCAGATACTCCATAACCTCAAGAGAACTTGGAATTAGCAGTTTTTCTTTTCCCTTATTTATTTGATTGATTAATAACTAACAGTGTTGGGAATCTGTCTATGTGCTTATTTTCTATTCACATATCCTCTTTGGTAAAGTATCTGTTCAGATCTTTTGCAAATACTTAAGTTGGGTAATTTTTTTCTTGTTATTAAGTGTTCTTTTTACATCCAAAATACAAGATGCTTCTCAGATATATGATGTACACATATTTTTCTACCATTCTGTGGTCTCTTACTTCATTAACATAACAGAGATTTTTAATTTTGATGATGTCCAATTTATAAATTTGTGACAACACAAACTCAATGGAATTTTTAAAAATTTGAATAACTAAAGTATAAAGGGGTTGCAAAAAAATGAAAAGTTTAGAAGTCAGAGATAGATGTGGTACATGGAACAATGATAAAAGGTATTTATACTATTAATAATATTTACACACTTTTTAACACTACATTGGAAGCCAAAATATTTGGTTTGTGAAACTCTCACATGATCCTTTTGAATAAAAATTGTACTCATTACTAAATCAAGGCCAGAATGCAGTGAGAATAAAGGTGATAAAATTTGGGGGATAAGTAAAGCCTTGTGCAGCACAATTTAAATCATCATCTGTAGAGATTTAATAATAAGTGAGTCATTCAATAAATAGAGTTGGAACACTGGCAAGTCCTTTGGAAAAAAAAAAAGTAATACTATATAACTCAAAGTAAATTCCAGATTAATTAAAGGCTTAATTATAAAACCTAAAACTAAAACAAAAGGAAACAAAATTATGATTATACAATATTGGAGTATTGTTTTTCTTTTTATCTCAATTGGGATTAGGAAAAACTGTACTAAGTGATGAAACCCAAAAGCTATAAAAAAAATTATAAATTATACTACATAAATTCATATGGGAAAAAAGCTACCAATCAAAACAATAAAATAAAAACTGGAGAAAATATTTTTAATTTGTGAATTAAAGGTCAACATTTTTATTATACAAAGTAAAATCTAAATGACTTCATTAAAATATGGCAAAGAAAATGAACAGGCAGCTCAGAGAAAAGTAAATATTGAAAGGAAAAATAATGGCAGACCAGAAGCAGCCTGCCAGCTCGCTGCTCCCAAGGAAAGAAGTGAAAGATACAGGCAGCTGCCTACATAAGGATCCCTCTTCTATGAAGCAGCATTGTGAAATCACAGAGAAGCAACAGACACTCAGAGTGAGGGAAAAAAAAATGTGACGGGGTGAAAATGTGACGGGGTGATGCATATAACAAGATCAGAGGAGGCCCGGGAACAATAGGAGGACAGAGCACGGGGCTCATTGTGCTAGCACAGTGCAAACTCCAGGAGGGCTCTTACCACCCCCACAGACCTCTGCTTGGTTGGACTGGGGACCTGCCTGGAGTCCGTGCAGAGCCATTGCACCAAACAACGGGCTCGGAGAGGATCAGGCAGCAGTTAAAGACATCCTGAGCTCTCGGGTGCGCTGTGTCTGATCTGCACCGGGCTCGGGAGGGTGTGCACTGACTTGTGGCTTCCCTGAGCCATACCCGGTGACTTAAAGTCAAGTACTTCTTCCCTGGAGCACAAAGGGATCTGAGCATGGGAACTGATCAGGGGGCAACAGAGTCTGACCTCTGAGGGGCTTTGGGCAACTGCTTTACCAGGCTCTGGGTGGGGAGTGGAGAACTCCATAGTCCCTGGGCTGCCGAAACTGGGTCTCTGAGCCTGTGAAACAAACTGCCACTTGCTCGTCCAGTTCTGCCTTCAGGCCCCAACTTCCTCTTGACTGCTTGGTCCTGATCTCGCCCTCCAAGTTGGATCAGACCCGCCACCGATTCCGGCCCGGCTCGGCCTTGCTTCTTGGCTCCTCCTGGACTCTGCTCAGAAACTCTGCTTCTAGATCCTCCCCAGTCCCGACTCTGAGGCTCTCACATTGAAGCCTGAGACTCCACTTCTGGTGGGAGCCTGAGAACCCCCACCAGGCCCTAGACACCATTCCAAAGTCTCCAGCACTGCACCTGGAACCCCGGGACCCCAAGACTCCACCCCAGAGCCTCCCTCGCCATTGCAGAACTGCTCCGAAGTCCAACGCCCTGCCAGGGACCCCCAGCCTCAAGTCTCCAGTACACTGCAACCCAGTTTGAGCAAAGGCACACAGCCTGAGAACCCAACCGCATCCAGCTGCTACTGTTATCTCTGTGGGGAAAGCAATTCCGCACAACAGCAGCCTCAGTGAAGAGGGTCTCACCAGGCTCCCAACTCAAACATCCTACCAACACTCAACCCAAACAGCATTCAGCACAGGCTTGCACAGGGGCAATCTCAGGTGAACAGAACAAATCAGAACAGCTGCATTACAAGCTTCTAGTACACATACCCCTCCCTCTGCCAAGTCAACATTCCAGAGTGGGGAGCAAAGAAGAGCGCCATCTAGTGACCTCCCCTTACTCTAACTAAGTAAGAGAGTTTCCAGCAAGGAACAGGAGCCCTGCAAACCTATACAAGCCCTGAGTTGAGAAAAGAGGTCTCAGATGAGAAGAAACCAGCGAAAGAACCCTGGCAACATGAAAAATCAAAACAGGTAAACATCCCCAAGGGATCACAATGGAACTATAGCAGTGAACTCCAAGTACAAGAAATTGTCAAAGTGACTGAAATGGAATTCAGAATATGGATGGCAAATAAGATGAACAGAATTGAAGATAAAGTTGAAACCCAACAAAAATAAACCCAAAAAATATTTCAGGAAATTAATGAAAAAGTCACTAAAGAACTAGACAAAATTATGAAAGATATAATAGAACTTAAAGAAATGAAAGCATCATTCAGGGATTTCTAAAATGCAACAGAAATTTCCAGCAACAGATTAAACCAAGGAGAAGAAAGAATCTCCAAGCTTGAAGACAAGGCTCGCAAGCTAACCCAATCATTTAAACAGGCAGAGAAGAGAACAACAAAGGCAGAGCAATCACTTAGAGAGATATGGGACTATAGGAAGCAAACCAACATACAAATTATAGGTATCCCTGAGGGAGAAAAAGAAAGCACTAAAACCCTGAAAAATCTATTTGAGGGAATTATTGAGGAAAACATCCCTAGTACCACCAGATATTCAGACATCCAGATACAAGATGGTCATCAAACTCTGGGAAGATTCATAGCAAACAGGACATCTCTAATACACATAGTCATCAACCTGGCCAAAGGCAAAATGAAAGAGAAAATTCTACAAGCAGCTAGATGTAAGCAACACCTGACCTACAAGGGAAAATCCATCAGGATAACAGCAGACATCTCAGTGAAAACCTTGCAAGACAGAAGGGAGTGAGCCCCCATCTTCAATCTTCTTAAACAGAACAACTGCCAGCCTAGAATTTTGTATCCTGCAAAACTAAACTTCTGTCTACCTTTTGCCTGCCTAAGACAGGACTCTAATCTCATTGTGGGTCAAAAGAACCTCATTCCAGAGAGGGCCCTGCCATATACCCTGGAGGCTCTGGAGGAAGGAATGCTATACAGAGAGGCTGGGAAGAATCTGAACAGACAGGCCTTCCTGGGCTTAGAACATGTATTTTTGTTCAATCACATTCCTACACAGTTGTCAATGATGCCTTTGTTACATTATTAACTAAGCCTCCATAAAAACTCAAGAGGACGGAGTTCAGAGAGCTTCCAGATAGCTGAACAAGGAGAGATTCCTAGATGGCGGCATGCCCTGAGAGGGTGTGAAAGTTCCATGCCCCTTCCCTTACCTTGCCCCATACATCTTCAGCTGTATCTTTTGTAATATCCTTTATAATAAACCAATACGTGTGTTTCCTTCAATTCTGTGAACTGCTCTAACAAATTAATTGGGCCCATAAAAAGGTTGTGAGAACCCCAACTTCTTAATCAGTCAGAAGTTCCGTAGATCCACACTTGTGACTGGGGTGGGGGGGCAGTCTTGGGAACTGAGCCCTCTCCCCGTGGGATCTGACGCTATCTCCTAGTAGATAGTGTGAGAACTGAATGAGAGGACTCCCAGCTAGTTTCTGCTGCTTGCTGTATGGGAAAATAAACCCCTGCATTTGGTCACAGAATAATTCTTCTGTGTTGAGGATTGTTGTGCTACAAGAGCAGAGGACAAATACGGTTTGAGAGTTTTCCCTAAATAGCCTGGGTTTAAACCCAAATCTACCGTTTACTAACATTAGGCAAGTTATTTGACTTCTCTGTGCCTCCATCAACCAATCTGTACAATGAGGGTAATAAAACTATCCATCTCAAGGACCACTGTGAGTACAAATGAATTAATACTAAGAACAGTGTCTTACATATAGTGTATACTCTGTAAATATTTCTCTCTTTTTTTTTACCAATGACATGAAGAAGGAAGTAGTAAACTACAAAATCTTTAGTTCTGCAGGTGACACAAAGCAATGAAAATACATACCAGAATACAAGTGGACCACAAATCCTAAAGATAACTGCTGCATTTTACTCATAACCAAAAGGCTGAGATAATAACACAGAACAAATAAAAAGGGAATTATGGAATGCAAACAGTAAAGCATGATGTTAATAAGTATATCAGTTATAGGGCAGGACAGCTTGAAAACTGCAGCACAGTTATCCTGAGAAACAAACTTATTTACAACATTGTTTAATATATGTGAACAATATTATTAGCATAATTATTTGGGAACTAAAATGTAAGAGTTAATATAATCTTTGGTTTCTATATATTGTATTAAAAAATCCTTCTTTCTCTTCAAGGAAGAATGTCACACAGTCTTCAGTGGGAACAAAATAAACCCACTATATGGCAATGAAGGTCTGTGAATGATCCAAGTGATTCATAGTAGAAAGTCCCTTCTTTATGAGGTTTGCCTATTAGGGACTTCCAATAGTCACTTGGAAATTTTGTGTTTCAATAAAGCTATTTAAGTGATTTTTCTAAAACCCATAAGCTGACTGAGCACTTTCCTAATGGCTATCTTCATCTCTCTGTTCCTGAATGTGTAGATGACTGGATTTAGAAAAGGAGTCAAAACTGCATCAAATATGGCTAGAAATTTATCCAGAGGTGTTGAAGGAGAGGGCCACATATAGAAAAAAATCAGTGGACCAAAGAATAAAACCACAACAGTAACATGAGCTGTGAGAGTGGAAAGAGCCTTTGATGAACCCTCTGAAGAGTGTTTCTGAAGTGTGGCCAGGATGAAAATGTAAGAGAGGATGAGCAAGAAGAAAGCACCCAAGGAAATGAACCCACTATTAGCAGTTACCATGAACTCCAATTTATAGGTATCTGTGCAAGCAAGTTTGATGAGCCGAGGTATGTCACAATAAAAGCTGTCCAATACATTAGGGCCACAGAAAGGCAAGTTTACAACAAAAGCCAACTGAATGAATGAGTGAATGAGACCAATGGCCCAGGCAACCACTAAAATCAGAATGCACATTCGCGAGTTCATGATGGTCAGGTAGTGGAGAGGCTTACATATAGCCACATATCTGTCAAAGGCCATGGCTATAAGCAGCACTATCTCTGTGCCCCCAACAGCGTGGCTAAAGAAGATCTGAGCTAGACAGCCTGCAAAAGAGATGACTTTCCGCTTCCTGAAAAGATCACAAATCATCTTTGGTGCTGCGATGGAGCAAAATATCAGATCGATGACAGAGAGGTTAGCCAGCAGAAAATACATGGGGGAGTGCAAGTAAGGGTCAGAGGTTACAGTGACCACTATGAGGAGGTTTCCCATCATACTGGACACATAGAAAAGACAAGAAAAGAAAAAAATGAAAATCTGGATCTCCCAGGAATTTGAAAGTCCCAGGAACACAAATTCAGACACTACAGAGTGGTTGGCTTTATTTATTGGCTCATTCAGGAGGTTCACTCCCATGTTACCTAAAGAGGAAAAAATGAAAAAATTCAAATTAATCATAATTGTATTCTATTAATAAAATCTATTTAAAGGTATATAAAGTATAGAAGTCAAATATTACCTGGGCATCGAATAACATTTTTTTGGCCACTAAAGCTGTTGTTACATATGACAGTAAGTGAATTGCCGCTTAGGCTTGCTAACTTGAGAGACAGTGAATGATCTAGTGGACCGGTACCCATAGTGCACCTGATGAAACCAAAATGAAAGGGCATTTGATGTTAAATTTCTGTATCAATGTTAACCATCCTTTAATCATCAATGTTAGCCATCCTCTTTCTAGAGGAGTAATATAACCCATAACATACATATACTAGTTAGACAAAGAAATAACAGAAATTTGTAAGAACCTATGGCTCAAATTTTGATATTGTTCAACTATAATGAGTTTGATGAGATACAACCAATGGAAGAATTGGACAAGGAAACAGGAAAAAAGGGAAATGGGCCAGATAACCTTTAAAAAAAAAAGGAAGGCCAGGGGGTGGGAACAAAGCAAAGAACTGAAAACCAGAAGACATTAAAGTGTATGACTTGTGCCTTCAGAGTCTCAGAGACAAGAGTTGCTCCTGGTTGAATACACAAAGCTAGAGGAAGGCATTCTACTGTCCTTGAAGGTTGGTCAGTGAACTCTGAGCCATTTTTTGCTTTGGGTAAACTGAGCTCATTCTAATAGAACGCTTTCAATCTTTTTCTCTCCAAGACTTTTCTCCACCATGTTTTCTTTTGCTTTTCTTAATTAAAGGACATTAAAGTTACAAACTATGACTCTTTTGACATTTGCTCGCTACACAACATAATTTCTTTTGTAGATTCACATGGATTTGGTCAGTCTCCCAGAAGAGATTCTTATATATTTTAAAGTTTAAGTTGAAGAAAACGGAGAAAAAGAGTGTCCTACTAATAAAGCCATAGAAATAAAATAGAATTTTTGATCCAGCCACATCAGTAGAATGTCTAAATTAGCTAAAAACATAATACTTGAGAATTCAATATTCGTCTTTTTTTTGGCTATTCTTATGCTTTATCATTCTGACGGTCCAAAACTTCTTCCCTGCTCCCAAATGAGTTTTCTGATTGTTTGTTTTAAGCCTACATCCACTTGTCTATTTCTCTATAAAAGGAAATATACAAGTGTTATTATGAACCCTCTCATATAAATACTTACTGAACTTGAATTAAATAAATCAAACTAAGTTGCCCATTCCTTTCACCTTTCCTCTAGGTCAATTTTCATGCTCCTGGATTCCTAAATTTGTTATTTTTCCCTGACACTTATCTACTTCTATTTTACACTGTAGTGGCCAAAATCAGAGAGAAAAAAAACACAATTAAATGCCCAATAACTATACTATCATAGCAGAAGAATTGATTCCCCCATCAATACCATTCTAGCAGTTTTTCTCATCACAGCTGAAAATGATGATAGGTCTGTAATCAGGCATGCAGGTGAGGGCAGGTGGGCTCTTAGACAGTTTACCAGTCAATCCTCCAAATTCTGTGCATATAATTTGGTTTTGGTCCCAATAAATGCCATAACACACTAGTCTCTAGTGGACTTCTTCCTGTTTTAACTTTTCTGCAAAGACAGAAATAAAACAGAGCAAGTGGTATTGGATTTTATTACTTTCCCTTTGCTTTTATCAAACAGGTTAATGAGATAAAAAAAAAATAAATCCTTTTCTAAATCATCATTTGAACCCCCAGATCCCTTGCCTATGCTTAAAATACTGTCTTGTGCTGATCTTGACTCTCCTTCATAGTTTTAGTTTCACCCTGGAAACCCATGATACATTTCCACAACCATGTAAAAGTCAAAGTCAGTTATTTGCCTTTCTCCACAATCTATAGCACTTTATGTACCACCTAATGTGACCTCTTCCTTTTTCCCTACATTATAACTACCTGACCACAACCAAAAACTTATCTAATATCTATAAATGTAGATTCTGCCACTATACCTATTTTCTGAAACTGAATTTAATAAACCAAGTCAATTTTTTTCCTGTTGTTATCTTGACTTTATATTTTTCACCTACCTCTTCCCAGACCACAACATCATCAGGTAATAAGAGTATCTTGGTAACTGAGCTTCTGTTTGTGCCACTGCTATTAAATAAAAAGCTGAAAGAATTTTTTTTAAAAAAAAAAAAAGGTAGTTAATTAACAGCACTGAAGAGTAATGACCAGGTACTGCTGCAGAAACCAGGATTTGCCAACTCTGCTCATGTGATCATGTGATCAGGGAAATTGTCCCCAGAACCTGACTGGCTTGGTAAGAACAACCAAAAGAATAAATCTTAACAAGTCACTGGAGAGGAAACAAAACTGAAATTAGATGTTTCAAGAGCATCACCTTTAGCAATTTTATCTGCCAATTTTGACTCTGTCATTGGTGGTTCAAAATAAAACAGAATGCCTGGGGAATGTGAACATACTTAATCAAAATCACATGGATTTCACTACAAATTTCAATCAGGTTAAGCACACGCAATGCAGAATATGCAGTAGAAATTACTTGAATCTCTTTCACATTTAAAAAATGGCATACAATGTACAATCTCTAAAATGACAACAAAAGTCAATTTTAAAGAAAAAGCCCAGGGGCGGGGGCGGCGGGCTGCCCGGGGCTGGGGAGGCAGCTGCCTCCCAGGGCCTGTCCAGGCGGCCGCCTCTGCGATGCTGCTGCTCGTGGAGGGGCTGCGAGTGCGGCTTCCTCAGTCCGCCGAGGACCTGGTCCGAGCCCACCAGCCTCCAGAGGAAAGAGCCAGACTTCTCAGAGGTCAGTCTGTTCAACAAGTGGGAGCCCAGGGCCTTCTGTATGTTCAGCAAAGAGAGCTTGCAGTGACCTCCCCAAAGGATGGCTCCATCTCCATTCTGGGTTCTTATGATGCCACCACTTGTCACATTGTGGTCCTGAGGCACACAAGGTCATGGGGCTACCTGCCTGACACACTGTGATGGAAGCCACACCAAAGCTGAGGTCCCCTTGATCATGAACTCCATAAAATCCTTTTCCGACCACGCTCAAGGTGGAAGGCTGGAATTGCACCTCCCACCAAGGTGGGAGGCTTCAGTGACGATAGGCAGTTGTCACAAAAACTTACTCATCAGCTTCTCAGTGACTTTGATGGACAAGAAGAGGACATTCACTTAGTGACATTATGTGTGACAGAATTAAATGACCGAGAAGAAAATGAAAACCACTTTCCAGTAATTTATGGCATAGCTGTTAATGTTAACACTGCGGAGATTTACAGAGCCGCCTTTCAAGACCGAGGTCAAGAGAAGCAGCTGCGTGCTGCAAGGGCTTTAACAGGAGGACCGATGAGTAGCATCTGCGACGCAAAGACAGAACAACTTCGCATAGAACCATTTTCCTGGGTGCCATTTCCACATGTGGATTTCTGGTTGCAGCAAGATGATAAGCAAATACTAGAGAACTTTTCCACTTCACCTTTGGCCGAGTCCCCCACACACACACACTTTGTTGAACATATTAGATCTACCTTGATGTTTTTAAAAAAATACCCATCTCCAACTAACACACTGTTTCCTGGAAGTACAGCTCTACTCTACAAAATAAATGAAGATAGTGGCTATGGGAAAAGATCTCTTCTCCAGGAAGCTAAAAATAGGAATTATCAGATAAAGCAACTTTTTGGCATGACAAAGACCACTGTAGGGGCTGGAAGGAATATGGATTTGGAACCTACATCCATTGACTCTTAGGTCTCCTTCCTTACTTGATGTCTTTCAGATAACTTTCGAAATAAAATCTTACTTTAGCAAGAAAAAAAAAGAAAAGAAAAGAAAAGAAAAAGCCCAAATGATTGTAAGTCCCTTGATAGCTAGTACCTAGATATGGAGTTTATTCATTCAACCCATTCTTGACAATTACCCATATGCCAGTCCCTGCCCAAGTAGCTGGGAGCTCAGGAGGAGACATATACATACAAATGAAGTGTTTTAATCCAATCTGGATAATAGCTCTACTAATAGCATGTTCAATGCTATGGGTAGGAACACAGAAGAAAAAAACCCCTAAACCTACCTGGGTGGAACTAGGTAGATTTCCTAGGGAAAGTAATACTTGAGTAGAGGCTTAAGAGAGAAAGTTACGAGGGGAGGTGGGGTTAATTCCAGGAAGACCTCATAGCATGCAGAATGAGGTGCGGCATGTTATGGCATGTTTGAGAAACTATAGTTGTTTAGTACTAAAGGAATATTAGGTACAGGGTAGAGAGTGGTAAGAGAAGAGTCAGAGAGCTTTCAAAAAAACATGTACACCTAAAATTATGAAACTTCTAAAAGAAAACATTGGGGAAATGCTCCAGGACATTTGTCTGGGAAAAGATTTCTTGATTAAAACCTCAAAAGCTCAGGCAACCACAGCAAAAATTGACAAATGGGGACGTATCAAGCTAAAAAAAAAGTTCTACGCAGCAAAGGAAATAATCAACAAAGGGAAGAGACAACCCACAAAATGAGAAAGAATATTTGCAAACTACTCATCTGACAAGGGATTAATAGCTAGAATATATAAGGAGCTCCAACAACTCAACAGAAAAAAAAAATCAAATAATCTAATTAAAATATGGGCAAAAGATCTGAATAGACATTTCTCAAAAGAAAACATACAAATGGCCAACATGTATATGTAAAAATGGCCAACATCATTAGACATCAGAGAAATGCAAATCAAAACAACAATGAGATATCATTTCACTCCAGTTAAAATGGCTTTTATCAAAAAGACAGGCAATAACAAATGCTGGCATGGATGTGCAGAAAGAACACTTGTACACTGTTGGTGGGAATATAAAGTAGTGCAACCACTGTGGAGAACAGTATGGAGGTTCCTCAGGAAACTACAAATAGAACTACCATATGATCCAGCAAACCCACTGCTGGGTATATACCCAGAAGAAAGGGAATCAGTATATTGAACATATATCTATACTTTCATGTTTATTGCAGAACTATTCACAATAGCCAAATATGGAATCAACCTAAGTATTCATCAAGGGATGAATGGATAAAGAAAATGTGGTATATACATATACGATAAAATATTATTTAGGCATAAAAAAATGAAATCCTGTCATTTGCAACAACATGGGTGGAACTGGAGGCAATTAAGTGAAATAAGCCAGGCACAGAAAGACAAATATCGTAGTTCTCACTCATATATGAGACCTAAAAAATTGATCTCATGGAGTTAGAGAGTAGAATGTTTATCAGAGGCTGGGAAGGGTAGCTTGGAGGAGGAGGTAAAGAAAGTTTGGTTAATGGGCACAAAAATACAGATAGAAGAAATATCTAGTGTTCAGTAGCACAACAGAATGACTATAGTTAATAGTAATTTATTGTGTATTTCAAAATATCTAGAAGAACAAGAAAGAAAAAAGCAAAAAAGAAAAGAAAATAGTCTCAATTGCAAAATAATAATAATAATAATGTATCCAATCCGAACAATTGAATCACACTCTCTGGGGTGTGGGCCAAGAGTCTTTGTATTTTTCAGAAGTGTCTCACGTAATTCCCATGCACAGCTATTGCTAAAACCACTACTTCACTCTCTGTTCCTCTGTATATGCACACAGCATCTTGTGCATACTGTATCACTGCAGCCACCTGTGACCTTGAAACTATTATCTCTCTCTCCATGTCCTGCAGATGGAAACTCTTCATGGATAGGGATGTTGCCTTATTTTTCTCTATATCTCCAGTGCCTTGTACATTTTTGGGACATATTAAATATTTGTTTAACTGAACAAAGCTAAAATATAAAGTATAAAATTAGGCCAAAGCTAAAATGTAAAAAAAAAAGGGTAAAAATAGTTTTTAAATAGAATTGTAGTAAATGACTATGAGCAGAACATAAGTAAATGTTAAAGATAAGGAAATTATACAGGTACGCCTCAAATATGTGAGCCAGCTAATCCAAGACATCATATTAAGGAGCTATTTCTTGGGGCTTCTCCATGCACAAATACATCAGGTTCTCACCAGGAAAAAAATACCACATTCAAATGGAGTAAACAAGGAAATGTAATTTATAATGGTGCAGACAGCATCAAAGGAAATCAACAAGGAACAGTGAAGTACCCAGCACTAGCTACAACAGGGAGCTATCGCTACCCCCAATGCTGAGGGGCAGTAGGGGGAAGCAGTACCAGAAACCAGAAAAAGAGCTGCAACAGCAAAAAGCAGCCACCAATGAAAGTGTAGGCCTTTAGTTACAGTAACTGCCAACACGAAGCCCAGATGGGAGGGAACTGAGGGAATAAATACTGTGATTTCACTGTCTTCCAGTCCTCCAAATTTCTGCCATAGCCTCCATTAGCTGCACCCAGGCAAAAGCCAGAGGGCTACCCATTGATTTAGTCCATCAAGTTGAAGGCTACAGGGCACAAAGCAGAAGGAATATTGTGACAATTCAACATGGAAGAGTGAGTAGAGAACAGCCATCAGAATGGTTTATCTAACCATTCTTCCATTAGTGGACACTTAAGTGTTTATAAATTTTTACTTTATAGGTAACAACAGACAAATATTTTTTACATGACTTCTTATACACATGTGCAGGTATTTAATACTGCCAAAGGATATATAATGAGAGGTAGAATTTTTAGGAAATATTGTTTTTATTTCAGCATTTTATGGGAGTACAAATGTTTAGGTTATGTATATTGCCCTTGCCCCACCACCACCCCCATCAGAGCAAGCGTGTCCATCCCCCAGACGGTGCACATCGCTCTCATTATGTGTATATATACCCATCCCCTCCCATCTGCCCGACACCTGATGAATGTTATAACGTATACTACTAAATAGACCCATATGAAAGTGCCTCTCATGACCACAACTGCTATTTAATTGGTCAATAGAAGAATACATTCACATATTTACTTGTATGAGATACTTACCAATTAAGGCAAAGGATCAATTACATTAGCTGGTGGACACAGCATATTAATGCCTTTCTTTCTGCTGGGCTGGTGGATTCACGACCATTAAAGAGTGGAACTACCAACACTGAAGAGCACTGGATGACCTCATTCTAGGGCTTATATCCCATATGAACCCAGGAATACTTCATCAGCATCTTAGCCAATAAA